TATTCTTGTTCTTTTCCATCTTTAAGAACATACAATAAAATCAATAAAACCAATACAAGTAAACCAGCTTGCCAAAAACAACCCCCAACCTTTCTTTCTCCAACATTTGTGGTATTAGTGCCAACTCAGTCATCTATTTCATCTTTCTTTATCGTTCCCTTCCTCTCATTACTGTTGCATGCTAGATAGTTTTTTTTTTACAACACAACAGAAATAATTGTGTTATCATGATTCAAATGATGAATATGACTACATAATGAGAGAGTCACATATTTGTGTTGTTTTATGTATGCATGTAATTTTCCAGCAGTCGGTGAAGAGTGCTGATGTTACGACTATGAATATTCACTTGTTTACATATCTCCGTTTGTATGTTTTATGTGTTATACATAATTATAATATTAAAGAGTCCAAAAAAACTGCATCACCACAGAGAACCTTTTCTGTCTGCCATCAGGACAGGCATCTTCTGCAAGGAAAATTGGTCATGCCAGAGAATTTTTCTCGTCATAATCTATCTTGCATATTTATAAAGCTATCATTCGTCTATGCATTGAATACTGTTGCCATATCTGGTCTGGTGCTCCTGCAGTACGTCTCACGATTCTTGACAAAATCTAATGAAGCGTACGTAATGTAATCGATTCTGACCAGGCATCTTGACTTTCTCAATGACATGATGTGACTTCCCTCTGTCTGTTCTACAAATATTTCCATGGCAACTGCTTGGATGAGCTTTTTTCCTTGGTGTCCTGACTACATGAATTTAAGCGTGCTACTAGATTGGCAACTAGGTCTCACTGTTTTACTGTTGAAAAAGCTAAATGCACCTGCCACTTCTACTTTAACAGTTTCTTTTCCCATATTTCCCACCCGTCGAAATCCTTCCTGATTCCGCCCATCCCTTCATTATAATCTTCAAAAATTTAAATGCAATGTCAATCACCATCTTCTGTTTTAGTGAGATCTGTTCATTTTTTTTTTTGTCAGATCATCACACCAAAAATTTTGAAAATAACAAAAGCCGGAAACAGGCCAGGAATGACACTTATTCAGATTAACTAGGTAAACAAAGAGAGTCTATTTCTATTTTAAATGTTATGACTAAGGCTGGCCATGTTCACACGAACCAAGCTTGCTACATTTACCCACATTTAGCTAAAATCTTTCGATAACAAACACTTTCTGTCAGACCTGATCTTCATCATGAGATGATGCCCAAAGTATCCGATCAGATCCTGGTAAGAATAGTGTTCATATTGCAAAATTCCCTTCATTTGTGACGTCCAAATCAACATTCTCACCACGGCTAGCAATGTAAGAAACACCATCTTTCTGCCAGAATACGGGGCAACACATTATCACACACATATGCAAGATCGATAAACACATGATCGTCAACACACTGATATAGTCCCAGAATGGGCACAAAGCCATTTCTTCCAAACCAAGCTTACACCGATGACAGTCAGGTAACTCTGCCCAGCCCATTCTGAAGACTACATCATTGAGAGATTGCCAAGTAAGTGAAAACTCAGAGTTACTAAGATAATCTGCCGCTGGTGCCCAAGATGAGAAAGAGTGAGACTCTGGTGTCGACAAGTCAAGCCAGCCACATAGAGGATCCATTGCAATACCTCTTCACTAGTTCAAGATAAAATAGCCAACAAAGCTGTGAAAGGTCACTAGAACGTGGAATGACCCTCAAAGCAGCCTGCCACTCTCATGGAAATTTCAATTGATTCTGGGGCTTATGACAGTGCTCAGTCTCCAAAAATAAAGCTAGGGAAGGGGTCCTTAACACTCCCTTCCAAAATCCACTCCTCTGTCAACGTGCAATGTAGGAAATCCAACATTGAGGTGTGCCAAGAGCACAATGTGCTGCATTCCCCGCCTGCCATGACATGGACATTGAGCAATGACCTCTCTACAGACCTGATGCTTGTGACCACCACACAAGAGGGTGGATAAGCAACCCATAATCACCTTCTTTCAGTCCTTGAAGGGGGGAAGTACAGCTGATCAATGAAGGTTAAGTGTAAAGATGTAAGTGGTACAAGCCTCAGCTCTAACCTCTACGGACAACTGCCATCGAAGTCACGTCCAGACTCCCACTCCAACCTTTGACTGTATTTCAGACCAATTTTTCTCCAGCTGGAGACAGTGTATAAACCACACCCCAAGAATGCGGACGGGTCTGTTTAACAAAAGGGCCCCAGAAGCATGACCCTCTTTCAGGCACCTAACTGCATCTTGACCCTCGTCACTCATTTGTGCTGTTCCAGTGCATTCTGTACCACGTCATTGTTGCTGTGGCATAATATGAAAATGGATACATCATCAGCGTATGCAGAAAGCCTGGATTGAGTACCTCCAGGGATAGCAAATATCAGCTATGGCCAAACTGCACGCCCTGGTCTTAGCTGGCAAAGGAATAAAGCGTAAAGTAGGTGCGACAACAGAAATAAACCCTGTCAGACCAAACGTGACAGCGCAAAAGCATGTGACCGTTTTCCGTTAACCTGCACCACAGCACTGGAGGAGTGATATAAGGAGGCTGATCCACTTGCAGAATCGGGTTTGAATCCGGCAACCTGCAGGTCATCAGCCAGGTACTAATGATTGACTTTTGGCTGATCTAAATTGATCAGTGTGGCTTTCTTGTCGTCTTCTATGTCTTCTAAGAGCATGCAGATCAGATACAGGTTGCTCTGAATTGTTCATCCCTTTACAGCACAACTTTGCTCAGGTACCAACAAACACTTGGCAACTGACTGCAAACGCTCCATCAGGATCTTGGCCAAAATGTTTAACTCTGTGTTTAGCAGAGTTATTGGTCTATAATCGTCAAAATCACTCCCACCACCCTTTGCCCTTTTTCAACATTGTCATCACACCACTGGAGACAGTCAAAATAGGAACAAAGATGTGCAACAGCCTCAAGTACTATTCATAGGGCAGACTATCAAGTCCTGGAGACTTTCCACTGCCGACACTCTTCAATACCAAGTGAAATTCGTCCTCTGTGCTCTGACTCTTGAAGTTAGATGCTTCAGTCGGCTCAAGCCGAGGAAGGTCAGCCAAATAGCTATGAAACTTGTCACCACAGAGACCAGGCTCTTTGGTAAAATGGATCTTGAAATGCCGTCGAAACTCCTTGCATGTCTTTGGTCAACCTCAGAGTATGCCGATCCGGGGTACCAACCTCCCGAATGTAATGATCGGAACCTCAAAAGAGTATATTCAGGCAGGTGTACAGTACAGATTTCCAATCAAATGTAATACGAGAAATTTCAATGGAAGAAAAAAATGATTTTTTCATGGGAAGAATTTTGAGAAAACTGACAAAATTCTCAATAAATAAAAATAACAAGAAGAATGAAAAACAGGACAAAAATAATATGTAACTAAAATATATGTATATAATGCAAGTCAAAAGCAAAGGAAAGCAACTGTAAGACAGTAATAAAGTAAAAGATTTACAAAATAGGAATAGTGTTGACAAACAAAAGGGATACAGTGCAGTGATTATAATATTCTGAAAATGACAAAGTGGCAGGCAAAAAGTTCAGGATTATGCTCCATTTAGAGCATTAAAAAATTTCTAGAATTTTACACTGCTGAAACGAAATGCTTGTGTCCTGGGAAGATTTAAATCCACAGATTTCAAAGGAAAAGTTTTTCTTGAGTGTGTGTTAACATGCGTCGTTTTAGATTTGAATTTTGGGAAAACTTAAATCCACACATTTCACAGTGGAAACGTTTCTCTTCAGTATGTGTTTTTTGAGAGTTGAGCTTTGGGAAAACTTAAATCCATAGATTTCACAGTGGAATGGTGAAGAAAGGAAACATATGATGCTGATTTTTTTTTATAAAAATTGCATTTTTACCAGTATATTTAATGCTGATCCTAATATTTCAAAACAAAGCACCATTATACATTTGATCAAACAAAAATATGTATTTTGTTAATTTAAAGGGATCTGTGATCAACTAAAATATTGAACACAAAGAAATGAAGGCAGAAAAATTGATAGTGTTTAAATCTGAGGCATTCTATAATTTCTCATGACTGAACTGAAATTAATTGTACGATGCAATACAATATATTTTATTGTGGATGGCATGTGAAATGAGAGCAAATTTGACAACAGCCCTACATGCAAGCCATTAGTGGCCTGCTGGTGGGATACCGATGGCATTGTCAGCGGTGCTCTGGTGGCAATCACCAGTGGGCCTCTAATTGTCCACCAGTGGTAAAATTGCTGAGAGAGGAACAAGCCGGTGGTCTGACAGTGGCTTGCATCTTGGGAGATTATTGTTAAATCATGTATCAGTGGGCATGGATGTCTGGGTGTTGGAATCAGCATAGGAACAGAAAAATAAAATCAGCAAGCTGAGTTCCAGACAAAGAAATGGACAACTTCGAATTCGGAACCATATATGGTATTTTACTTACCCATAAGCCACCAATCTGCCACTGAGTGGCATGCCACCAGCGTTTCATGCTGGTGACCCACTGGCATATTCATATCAGCAATGTCACCACTGGCAGACCGCTAGAGGCCCATTGGTGCTCTGGTGGCTGCCACGAATGTCAGTACTCCAGTGGTCTGCTGGTGGCAGCCACTGGTAGTCACTCATTGCCAGAGAACAGGCAGACTGCCAACAGGAGTTACTAGTATTTTGCAAATCACTTTCCCAGCAGTTCACCTTTGTAACTGTTCTGCATTGCATTTATTTTGAGGAGAAATATGTACAGAACAAGTAAATTACTTTTTAAATCTGTAACATGTGCTTAATGGTTTTCAGCCATTTTTTTCTCTTGTGTTGCTAAAATAAATAAATTCAAGTGATAATGATAAAGAGAATAAGTACTCGTGACTTGTACGCTTTTATGCATTTCTCACTTCATTTACATTTATAGAACGAAAAGAAAATTGTTGAATAAATTCAGTTTTTAAAATTTAACGCAATATTTTATTATAAAAAAAAAAAGGTTAAATTATTTCTCCTGTTGTTTGCTCGTGTAGTCTTTGCCTTTTTCGCCGACCACCTTCTCGGTCTACAGCCCCCTTAAGGAAACGGGAGACTGCACCTTGAACTTCATAATCTGTGAGCTGCGTAACTGTATTTCTCTGGATTGCCCCTGGAACAAAGATACAATGAAAGTAAAAAAAAAAAAAAATAAAACAGATCTTTCATAACTTTTTTAAAAAAGCATATCAACATATCTGGGGTTAATGCCTAATGGTCCAATCATAATTTGTATATTTTAATTTTTTTTTTGTAGTGCAATAATTCTGCTTTTATCCATAGCTGAAGGGAGGTAGGGAATAATGTCTTTCCAAAGGACATTAGTGAAAAATAAATGAAACGAACACAACCAGAATTTGAACTCATTTTGCCAAGTCCAGTTTATGAGCCAATATCATTTAAGCCACAACATAAGAAAGGTGTCATGTACTGTTCTTTACCATAGGAGTTTAATAAACATTCTTTGAAGTATGATAAATATTTAGAAATAAAGTTTTTTAATCTCCATTACTTTGTATAATAGCTAATAATCCATGCAACTCAAAACTAATTATTCACAAATGTTCAAATTTATGTATGGAATTAAAGAGAGAATTCCAAAACTCTTATACAACACAACAATCTGTCTAATGCAGTTTAACTGCATTTGACCACACAGTGCATAATAAACACATCATTTTAGAAAATTCTGTTCCAGGGAGGTTTAATGATCAGCTGACAAAACTAGCAGACTGAATTGATGAAAATAGAAAACTGTAATTCTATCCAAATCCCATATACACCCAAGGTATTCTTTTTACTATGGAACAACCAAATTATCACTTACTCTGTAATATCATTTTTATTTTCAGTTTCTGGAATTCAATCTTGCCACCTTGTCCAGTCCAATTCATCTCTTTCATAAGAGAGTTTGTTATGAGGCCACTGAGCATCCTTTTAACACAATCAGGAATATTGTGACCTCCACGAGAAGCCAGAGAATTTATCTGGAAAGAAGAAAAAAAAATGTATGTCTTATTGTTGCCAGTGCACCATTTAGTAAGCCTACAATTAAGAACAATCTCAAACATTTTTCCTACATAAAGTGTTCTGCATTTTTTATTCCTAAAAGAAATTAATTTATTCATCATTGTAACATGAAATTTCTCTTTCAAATAATTAGGTCAACTTTGATAATTTTGTATCATTTCTGACCAATTCTCATATTTTCAGACATAAATGCATCAAACCAGTTTAGATCACTATTCCATAGTTTATGAACTTTACTGCCAAAATATTAAGAAACTAAATTCTGTAAAAAAGTAAAAGGGAGCAAAGAAAGTCAATATCTAATCAAAAAAAGATTTACAGTAAATTTCTATAACAACAAAAATTATCAATGTTATTTAATTGATAATAAAGTACGATGGTAAACAATCAGTTTATTTGTTATAATTTTATCAAGTCATTACACATTCCACCATGCTGTTTTCTTAAAATGCAGTCACATTAGCTCAATTCTCAAGTTTCAAAAGTAAATCTATTCAATAAGAATTCCAGGTAGATACGTAGTTGCACCTCTACCTACTATTTGGATCTCTCTACTTCTTGCCTTGTGTTAAGTTTAGTACCTCCACAAGATTGTTAAAAAAAGAGCATAGCATGATGAAAAAGATGCCAAACTTGACGAAAACAAAATTTTATCGTCTAAATGTTTGTCATTATTAAAAGGAAAGATCAAAGTATTTTGGGGGTATTTTTTTACATTTTTTAATCGTTCCTAGCATGTCCAAAATTTTCGTTAAAAATCTTCTTGTTTTTGAGTCAGCAAATTTACAAGTTATTTTACTAGTTCTGGTGATACAAAGAGAAACAAGGTTTTTTTTAATCAAAGTTTAGAATGTTCTAAAAAGAAAGAAAAAATTTTAAAAAATAATTTTAAAAAAGTTTGGTCTTTCCTCTTAATAATAATATAAGCATTTAGACAATAAAATTTTGTTTTCGGCAAGGTTGGCGTCTTTTTCATCAAGGGAGTTACCTATGTTAAGTGGAACACATTCTATGTAAAGCTCTAATTAATGTTGCCTGTAATAGTTTTATTCCTTACATCATAATTACATTTCCAACATTTTAAAATTGATTAATGTTTTCAATATTTGAAAGTAAAATAAAAACAGCTTAAAACAAATGGATTAAACCTACCAGATATTTTTGAAATTCTGGCTTTTCTCCTAATGCCTCTTCAAGCTGATCTAGTTCTTGTTTATTGCTCACAGGAATTGTAAGGCCATCAGGAACAGCATAATCTATATCTAGATTATCAGGCTGCTGACTTCCTAATACTTTGGACATTTGAACCTGCAGCTCTCTGACTGATAGTCTTATATCAGTTAATAATTGAAGCATCAGCTTCTCTGTAGCTGTAATATAAATAGAAGAAAATAATAATGTGGAAAGAAAGGTGTACATGAATTACACTCCATTTGAAAAAAATGTCTGGAGAATTTTTATCTATATACCAAAGCTTTGGCAAAATGTTACCTTGTTTATAAATGGAAATTTTTTATAAATTTTATGTCATACCCATAATTCTGGATGCAAGTCTGACAGATGTAGTCAGGTATGAGTATTAAGAACTGATACAGGGAAAAAGTTTGATAACTGAATTTCAAATCCATATATAAAAAGTTTCTCCCTTCCCTGGGAAATTTATTAGTTGTGATTTCAGTTCTCACTCTCTCTACTGTCTGAAAAGGTATGTACTTCCCAACTACCTCCAGCAGTGAGTAAAATAGCAAAGTAGGATCAGTCCAGTGACAGAATAGAGTCCTCTCATGGCAGTTGTATCTGTCACCTGTTTGCTTAATGCTATGGAAACTAGGTGTTCAGGCTCTACAATGAACTATAGGTAAGTACCTATAACACACAGAATTTTAACAATGTTTTTATTTAAATAATTTGCTATTTTACAATATTATACAAATCGATTAAAATTTACTAATGCATATCTTTATATGGAATTTGTTAGCATAAAAAAATGTTGCATTTTTTCATTCAAATTTGAATGTGTAGTATAAGGTACATACAAGTAACATTTGAAACATGCTCCCCGGGTCTGTTCCAAGGAGGTGTTGGATTCTCATCTCTAAATGAGGTGGTGCAAATTGCAAGGGGAGGGGTGCTACTTCCTCTCTTTGGACATGATCATGATCTCTATATAATAATGAATCTATCTGAGATGGTACTGGTGGTAGAAGTGCTGTCTTAGGGGCTTTGAGCAAGGACCTCTTGATTTGATTTCAGTAATCATCATCATCATCATCATTATCTATTTCATTTGGAGTGATATGTGAATACTTGGCTTTCTTTCTAAAAATACAGTATTAAGTATTTCACAAAGTTTTAAAAATTGTGGCTGTAAGAATTTTTCCTTCACTAAATTTTAAAATTGTGAGGTTCCAATCATTTAAATCAAGCATAGGATATAGCATACTAAAGTTAATATAATATACAATGTCGGATAGATAATTTTCTAGAAAAGTAATCCCAGTAAACCCTCATTAAATTAGACCCTGTTTGCATAATGTTCAGGCTCTACAATGAACTATAGGTAAGTACCTATAACACACAGAATTTTAACAATATTTTTATTTAAATAATTTTCTATTTTATATTATTACACAAATTAATTAAAATTTACTAATAAATATCTTTATATGGAATCTATAAACAGAAAAGAATGTTGCACTTTTTCATTCAAATTTGAAAGTGTAGTATAAGGTACATACCAGTAACATTTGGAACATGCTCCCCGGGTCTGCTCCTCGGAGATGTTGGATTCTCATCCCTAAATGAAGGACCTAAATGGTAGTACTGTCCAGCTGGGGTATCTTTTGAAACAACTTTAACATTGGTACCAAGGAGAGTCCGTGGATCCTTTGGAAGGTCTGGAGTTGTTTTTCTCAAGATATAAAGCAACTGAGCAAGTGCCATATGGGTTATTCTATTTTCTACAGCCCAATTTGCAAGTTCTGATGCAAGGTTTGAATTATTGTCATCTGTATCACTGAATTCAGATGACAAAATTAATATTTGTGATGGTTTTTCATCAACGTCTGAAAGTACAGCTTGATCTTGACTTGCCTCTCCAGTTACTGATACTGAAGGAATTTCTACGGAGGTTGTTGATGTGTCTCTAAGTTCATTGTTAACAGTAGTTAACTGTGGCTGTAGATATGGATTGAATGACATAGAACATGCTTCTTCTTGGTCACTGGTAGAGTATGATTGTTCAATAGCCTGGACGTACCTATCAACTTGTTTAAGAATTTTTCTTCTCCTTGTCCAGCAGTTCATTTTTCACCTGTAAAAAGATCTTGTATTTTGACTAAAATGAATAGGGTATCCAGAATAATTTTAAATATCAGGACAAGTTTCTAATGCAAAAGTTGGATTTAGGATAAACTTTTTTCATGTTATAAAAGCATATACATATCACAGCAATAGCAATTAAAGAAATGAATGTCAAAAAAAAAAAAAAAAAAAAGAAAAAAGAGCTCATCTGCCTGCAATATTTGTTTGTCAAATTTTATTTGTTTAATTTTTTAAAACTCTTCATATTACTATTAAGTAAGCATTCAATTTTCTGATTATTTCTAGAAATTATAGAAATTAATCTTTACGAGAGGGGGGCATTTTCCTATGTAAATTTATCATAAAAAAAAATCTTTGACTTTCGAACTAGAATAAAAAAAATCCATAATCTCCATAAAATAAAGAAAAAGCATGTTAACTTTTTGTTTTTTAAATGAGAATTTCAGGCTAAAAAAGTAATAAAAATAATTGTTTCCACACATTTAAAGTAGTTGGTTCAATATAGATTTTTATTTTAGTGTGTTTCATATTGAGGAAGTGGTTTTGTTTTTATTACTAATATTTTTAGCAGCTAATGCTGAAAACAGAACCTTTCTTCTTTAAAACATTAAAGTTAAAAATGATGTTTTTCAAAAATTGACCTACGAAAATTGATCAACTTAGCCTTTCTATATGAGAAACACACAAAAATATCTTTTTCCTTAAATAAAAAAGCAAATTAAATGTAGTCATTAAAACAGAACTTAACCAAAGTTTGTGTTATGATTCATGGATGATGAAAGATCCTTATTTTCTATAATCACAAATGGCAAGGTTACTTTTAGAATGATGAAAGATCCTTATTTTCTATCATCACAAATGGCAAGGTTACTTTTAGAATGATGAAAGATCCTTATTTTCTATCATCACAAATGGCAAGGTTACTTTTAGAATGATGAAAGATCCTTATTTTCTATCATCACAAATGGCAAGGTTACTTTTAGAATGATGAAAGATCCTTATTTTCTATCATCACAAATGGCAAGGTTACTTTTTAGAATGATGAAAGATCCTTATTTTCTATCATCACAAATGGCAAGGTTACTTTTAGAATGATGAAAGATCCTTATTTTCTATCATCACAAATGGCAAGGTTACTTTTAGAATGATGAAAGATCCTTATTTTCTATCATCACAAATGGCAAGGTTACTTTTAGAATGATGAAATATCATCACCATTCTGGATCATAACACTTGGAAAACCTCAAAATAAGGGAAAAAATTGAGATAAAAATTTGATTCTTTCTTTTTTTCACAGATGAGTTTTTCAGTAAAAAACATCTGAGTGAATTATTGAATAAAATCCCAACTTATTTAATTTTGGGGGTAAATAGTTGACAATTGTTGGGGGACATTTTTTGTTTTTTTAAAAAATTAAGTTGAACACCCCTGAAAAAAGTAAATGTATTTTTTCGGAAAGAAAAAAATAAATTTCTGGAATAATAGTCCCAAACACAAAATGTTTTTATTTTTTTTTTTTGCATTAAATTGTCAAGGATAAATTTTCAGAAGGGTTCATTTTAAGTTTAACTAACAATGAAAATTTAACTCTTTAAAAACCTGTAGTAAAAATAATTTTCTTTTCAAAAATAAGTAATACCAAAGAAATTACATCAGAAGCACACAAAAAAATAAAGAAAAATGTTTGGGGTTTAAAATGTGTGTTTGGAAAAAACTGGATAAAAACTGAATTTATATTACCAAAATATTCCCCCCCCAAAAAAAAACAAACGAATAAAACTGAACAAAGAATTCCCCAATTTTTTTCTCTATTTTTTTTTTTGATTTGTGTTTCTGAAAAATTAATTCTGTTGCTGACATTTGAGAATTTTTACTTTGGTTTATTTGTATTGTTTTGTTTTCTGTAAAAGTTTCAGGCAAATGTTTTTATGTCTCATTTAATTGCTTTTTAGTTAAAGAAAAAAGTTTTCTACTCTTCCTCAGAGTTTGTTATTAAACTAAATAAAAATAACATAGCAATGGTTTGGTTTAAAAAACGCTCATCAATTAAGTTAATTAAGTTAACCCACAAACAAAATGTAAAAAAAAGTACTTAACAAATGGAAAAGTGTGTTGATGTTAAGTCAAGAAAGTGAAGTGAAACTGTTTAGTGAATCACGTGACAAATAATTCTAAACGGAAAAAGTTTTTTTAATTCATAATTTTTATATTTTTAATTTTAATTTATTTTTGAAATATTTCCTTTTTCAATAATAATTAATTGGAAAATATTCCAATATATTTTTTCTGAATTACATACATAAAAAGTTTCTTTAAGTATTTAAACTGCTGGGTGAATCACGAGACAAATAAATCTAAGCAGAAAAAGTTTTTTTAATTCATAATTTTTATATTTTTAATTTTGATTTATGTTTGAAATATTTCCTTTTTCAATAATAACTGAAAAAAATTCTGATATATTTTTCTGATACGAACATAAGAAGAAGTTTTCTTCGGTATTTTATAGTTTTCTCTAAACATTTTATAATTTTTTCTTTCAATTTTAATTTATTTTACAAGTTATTTCCTTTTTCAAAAAGTATTAATTGGAAAAAAAATTTATATATTTTTTCTGAATTATGCTCAAACTTTTTTCACAGTATTTTATTCACCCACCAAAAAAGCCCTGTTTATTTTGTTGTTTTTCATCAAATACAAAATTAAAAGCAATATTTTTCAAATGTATTTTCCAACTCAAGTTACAAAATAGAATTTTCAAATAGATTTTCCTTGTTTGATGATAAATACAAAAGCATCAGTTCTCCACCAGTGGTCCGCCAGTGGTAAATCAACTCATGGAAGACCCATATTGCTTAGACAAACATGCTGGCAGGCTGAAAATGTGCCACCAGCGGTAAACACTAGTGGCATGCCTCTCATCAGCCACTAGTGGCCCACTGATGGCTTGCATGTAGGGGAGCAGAAGGATGTGATCTCACAACTGCATCCAGCATAGCAGGCAAGAGAACAAGAATGCTGGATAGTTTATATACTAACACCAACCACACAGATGATTTGGGCAGTCTCTCACACATAGCAGAGAGGAAATGTCAGGTCTGCATGCCGGAATTGGGGTGCAGAATGAAAACAAGGATTGCATACCAGAGACTGAGAGGAATTGATAAAATACTGGTGGGAATAAAAAGTAAATTAATGAAGATTAAAGCCTTACATTATCATTTAATTAGCAAGCCCCATTAAACACTTATTATGTATGGAGAAGGAAAACTACAGGAAATCTCTCCAATATCTTTATGAAAATGTCATGGCAATTTACAGAGAGAAAAGTCAGTCAACCATTCAGCTGACTGGAAAGCAAGAAGCCAAAATAGAGTTCCAGAGAAGAAACTGTTAGCATAGAACTTACAGTTACACCTAGCCATTTCCACATGTCAAATGATGCCAATCTAGTACTGCCCTTAAATTCATACAGTCTTGCTACCATGAAAAACTTTTGGAAATGGCACAGGGAAGATACGGTATGGTGGTGGGAAAGTAGAGATGAAGTAGAAGTAACTAGACCAGATGTGGCAGAAATATTCAATGCATGGACAAATGACAGATTTATAAATATGCAAGATATATTCTGATGAGAATAATTGACTAGCATGACACAGTGAACCAAATTTCCTTGCAGCAGACTTAGTAATTTTTTCAGTATAATCTTTCGACTTCATGTCATTTGAAAACTTTAGACCCAGAAGATGCAATGAGTCACTCTCTTGGAGGTTAGCATCAGCCATGCTGATCGAAGGCAAAAAAGACATTAAAAAGCAGTTTTCTTTTCGAGATGTTAAAATTAACAAGCCATTTCTTGCTCCAGTTAACAATTGTAGGTCATTTTGAGATCAGCTGCCAATTTGACTTTATTGAACTGATCAGATTTACCATTAAGACAGAAGTAAATAATTGTTTCAGTTTGGATTTATTTTGTCTTATGGTATATCAACCTCAATGGGTTAGTTAATGTTGAGAAAATTTATAGAATAGATTTGTATGAATAGAATATGTATTCATTGTAAGGAATCAGTTTGTAGATCAGGGTTTTATATTTTGCAAAGAGGATTTGTAGAGTGGTTTCCTTGATGTATTCTGCCAGAAATAATATAACTTTTCAAAATTTGAAGAAGACCAGCATGCCAAAACCTGTCAATCACCTTTGAGATCTCCAATGCCACAGTCCAATCTTTACTATTCTTATCTTAAGCTTGACAGACTCTTTCAGCAGTAAAAAGCCATATTGCTTGCATGAAAGACCCTGTGCGATGCTTAAACAATTCAGTGTTAATAAGTCATCTAGTCAGTTAGTTATGTGCCATGCATGATACATGCTTAGGCGATCATGTATCTTTCGATACGTAACTGACAAGGCAGATTTTTTTCTCGCAGTAGGTTGCCATTTCTTTCTGCAGTAGACCAGTTGCTGTCCAAGGCTATAGAACTAGGTATGTCTGGCTATTTACCCATAGCTGGAGGGAGAAGAAGAGGATTCATACCTTTCCTAAGGGTATTAGCACATAAGTGAATCTAATGGATTCAACTAGAATTCAAACTCGGCTCTCTGATTCCTCGATCTGAGC